AACTAATATATGAATCTGTTAAATACAAAATAAAATAATAATAATTAAAAAAAAAACTTGTAAAGTTACCTTAGTAAATAAGATAAAGAATAAACACACAAAAAGTGCTTACTAAATCAAAATCTTACTCGATCAAAATTTTGCACTTTTGCAGCAGTGAACATGGCAAGATCAAAGGTGCTTACTCGGTCACAATTGTCATGTCATGATCATGCTATCTTCATAGTTAAAAGATTCGAGATCTCGAATGGGAACCAAAATTTCCACAATTAGAATGAGTTACAAGATAAAATATTCTTCATTTAGGTTCTAATTTTTTAAAACCAAACTTAGTTGACTCATTTGAAACTTTTAAACTAAATAGTTAATTTTTCACTTGATTATTTATTTAAATGGTTAATCCAATCCTCATTCAAATAAAAATTTCTAAAATCCCCTCTAGAAACAAAAGGGATCAAATTATCAAATACGTAAATCAAATATATCAAACTATGTGTGTAATCAAACAATAACATTTGATATTTAAATATTATATATAATTGCAATCAGCTCCCGAGAATTCATCGTCATCATCACAGACACACACCAACAATGAGTTGTTCAAAAGGCATCCCAATGGATTTGATGATTCCTCATGCTTCTGCTTTCATTTTACCAATTTTGTCTTCATCTAAAGCTTTGACAGCGAAGGAGAATCCAAGACGAACCACTCATTTCAATAACTAACTTATACAGATGCATATACTTCCGAGAATTGTTCTTAATATTCTCACACAGACAGACGGTTCAACAATGGATTTCAATAACAATGAGACTCTGTCACAAACAAGAGGAACTCGCACAAAATCTCTTGATTTTTAGTCAGTAAAATCACTCCACAATGTAAGAACAAAATTTCTGTTCCTAACAATCATGTAATTAATATAACAAAAAGAAGATCATAAGAAAGAACGAGAACAGGCTCCTTAGGGATTGGATTATCTATGAGCAGTTACCAAAGTCTCAATAAACCTCAATCCATCGAACCTCGGCGCAAATTTCTCCTTCTCCGCTGACGAATCCGAACCGCAACCTCTGTTGGAACCGGATTCCGAAACAAAGCCCTAAAAACACAATACAGCAAATCAAAAACCGATCAGGACAATAGAATTGAAAATGGAACATTCGAAGTCGAAAGCGATGAAGATTTTACCTCTCGAGAGGGAGGATTAAGAGCGAGGTCACGATCTTCATTAGAGGAGGACGAAGAGGAGGAGAAAGCCATGGTCGAAGCGGCGAGGACCGAAGCGAGTAACGTGCAGGAGCCTTTCATGATTCGTCGGAGCGGACGGTGAGGAAATCCGACGACAGTCGCCGGATCTCGGCGGATTTAGGGGGAATGGGGAAGAGAATCGGAGATGAAATTTAGAAGACGCCGCTGAATATTGACCTCAGAGCGCTGAAAAGGGGATGGAGGGATTTGTTGTTATATTCTGCGAGTCTCGCGTGTATTTATGTGTGTTCGGAAATTTCGCATTTAACGAAATTGAATTTGGATTTAAGATCCGCTCCTTCGCTTTGTTTTCCAGCTACCTCTTTCTACGCTGTCCATTCACTTCGTATCTCGTGGACCCCTCTTGCCGACGTGGCGCTCCATATTTATACAATAAAAAATGGAAAAAAAAAATACAAAACATAGTTGGCCAATTTGGTCGGTTTGTGCCAAGTTTCGATTTTTTTTTTTTCTTTTTTTTTCTTTCAAAATTTTAAATTTATTCATTTTAAAATTTACTAACTCTCAGCCCGATAGTATTCTTCATTTATAAATTTAATATTATAAATTTAATATTCTACTAAATTAATCAACGTGAGACTCATTTCCAATTATCCTTATTCGTTATACATTTTCAAATTAATTATAATAAATTGAGATTAACTTCAAATTTCAATTTTTCCACTCATATCATGGCGTGTAATGTTAAGTGACAAAAATATTATAAATTCAGGGTTGAAATTTCAATAAAATAAAATGAAAATATAAACAATTGGCAAGAATAAAATGGGTAATTTACAAGGAAAATAAATTGACACCATTTGTTCGGTTGACGCTGACGTTGACGGCACCGCAGCCGTTGGATGGGATGTTAACCGGGTCCCACCGTGGTAACACGGTACGAATGACAGTAGGCAATAAAATCTCTGAAGATGCTTTGAGTGATGCTAAATGTGGTGGGACCAGGGACAACAGCAAGAGGTTGAGATTTGTGTTTGGAAACACGTTCAACGTATGGTTTCGGCAGACCGGTTTGGTCCTCGACGGTCGGTCCCCATTAAAGCCGACCAGATTTTAGGAAATAATTTGGAGATAATAGTATATTTATGAAAAAGAAAAAAAAAAGAACATAAATAGTTAACATCTTAAATTCATTATTAATTTCATGAAAAATAATTTAGAAATATATATATATATATTTATTTTTTTTTTATATCAAGAGCTATTCGTGAGACATCACAATCTACCACTTTGTGGTCCAATGTCCTTCTTGGCACACCCCCTTATGTCTACATTCTTCGGGGAATAGCTAAAATGCTGGCAGATCGTTCGATGTCTGACTCTGATATTATGGCAGATCGCCTCATGTCTACATCCTTTGGGGAATAGCGAGAATGCTAACAGATCGTTCGGTGTCTGACTCTGATACTATAACACACCGCCTCATGTCTACATCCTTCGGAAAACAGCGAGAATGCTAGCAAATCGTTCGGTGTCCGGCTCTGATACTACTTGCAACGGTCCAGATCCACCGCTAGTAAATATTATCTTCTTTGGACTTTCACGTTGTCTTTTCGAGCTTTTTTTTTTTTTTTGAAGGAATACTTTGAAACATTAAAATCATCACAAAATTAAAAAGTTCTTTATTATCAAAATATATGATATGATTGAAGCTCATAAAGCTATGACATATCGAAAATTTAGATTAGTTTTGATTAAATGTGAATCCATTGTGATGGTTGACCCGAACTTAGTTTAGCGTGGGACCCCACCGTTACGCGATATTTCTAGTCTTTTCGCGCGGGTTCGGTCGCCGTTCAATGCAAGCTGCGGGACCACATTAGTCACCTCACCGCCGCCCAATTTCCAATGACCAAACCTTTTCTTTTTTCTTTTTTATCTTTTCCATAAATAAATAGATTTTCCCGTTAAATTACAAAGCTTAAATTAATAATAAAAAAACCCCCTAATTTTTAAATTGGTTAATTTTTAAAAAAAATTTTAAAAATTTAAAATACCATTTTAGATAATATTTTATTTAAAAATTTAGTTATTTTTAAAATTTCATAAGTATTTCTTAAATATAATAACGAGAAGAAATTTTTAAAATTTTTTTTAGAAAATTAATTGTGTTTTTGAAATTTTTTAAAAGTTTAAAATATTAATTAAATTTTTAAAAACTTAAAAAATAAAAAATTAGTTATTTTTTAAAGTTTAAAACATTGAAAGTTTCTCCTTAAAATTAGCATATATATATATATATATATATATATATATATATATATATATATATATTTTGATAGTTTAAAGATGTTAATTGAAAATTTTAAAAGTTTAAATTTAAAAGGGTAAAATATAAAAGTATTTTTATCAATTTAACTAAATATGAATTTATTTAGTTTTTGTGTTAAATAGTTTTAAATTTTTACAAATTAATTAATATGGAAGGTAACTAAATTTAGGATTTAACCTATCAATTTAACTTCTAATAAAAAGTTAGTTAGAGAATTTCAGAATTAAGAATAATTTATAATATAGAACGATTCATTTTAATCTAAATCATTTAAATTAAATTAAACGTGACACTTTCTTTTTTTAGCTTTGAATTAAACTTATATTATAAACTCTAATAAAACGCCATTTTCATTCAATTAACTTCATTTTATATTTTTTAATATTTAAATTTAGTCCTATACTTTTAATAAAATTTAAAATTAAATATCTAATTTTGTAGAAAAGGAAAAGAAATAATTAAAGGAAAGAATAAATTTGGGGTATTTGGAAGTCTTCGGTCTTAAGTTGACGGACCCCATACGCTAAATTTAAAAACAAAATAAGAGAGAATGAAATCCGCGGCTTCAAGAAACCTCTGGGAATTTGGAATCCAGAAAAGGGAAGGAAACTCCCGCTTTGTTCCCTATATAAGCACCTCCGGCCTCCCTCCCTTCTCCACAACCAAACCACCGACGTTCCAGCAATCAACCGCCGCATCAATTTCAAGATGAATTCCATGTTCAGTTTCTTCGATGCCTTCGCCGCCGAGATCCTCCTCGGAAAGTTCGTTACGGCTTCTACTTCTGTCCCTTCCTTCACTCCCAACACCGGCGGCGGTGGTTCTGCCTCTTCCGCTCCTGTGAAGTCGATGCCGGGAAAGAAGGAAGAAGCTAACGCCGTAGCCAAATTCAAGAACTCGTCGATGAAGCCGAGATTCGCTCTGGAGCTCGATGGCCTCAATTGCTTTGAGACTCTCGTCCCAAATTGAGGTCTCCTCTGGTCGTGATTCTGTTATTATATCTTACTCCATTCTTCTGATTCTTTCAATTTTAGGAAATTCTTTTGATTCTTTCAATTTTAGGGTTTAAATTAGGTTATACGAGATTTAGGGATTCTAGTATGTGAATCAAATTACAGAGTGCTTTCTTGTTCTTCCTTCGCGCCTGTTACACGGAATTAGATGATTGATTCCGTTCCACGTTTAGTTTTTTTTGGAAATTCGATATGAAATTAATTATTCTTCTCCTTATTCCTTGTTGTTCCTCATGTTTTTCATCTCCTTTTATGGAATTATTAACAACTCACTCACTACAAAATCTAACTTTAAAGTTTTATTTTATTTCCAGATTATGAGGTTGAACACTTTATTTTATTCCTTGACCAAATTACAAGAACCAATTTATCACGATTAGCTTTAATCCAGAACGTGTATTTTAACTTTTTTTAAAGGGTATATTCTAAAAAAGGATGGCAATAAAACAGGATAGCTTCTTAATTTCCACTATTTATTCCATAAACACTCCCCCCATCTGAGTAAGAAGAACAGAGAATTGAGGGTTTATATGAAGCCTAAATCTATGTTCAATCTTCTCTCCTTCCCTACAATCTAAAGCTTCTTTTTACAACTCAAAAGGGGAAATTCCAAAACCAAATTTACCACCTTCAAAGGGCTTCCTCTTTGTGTGTCACTCATGGAAACAATGCTTAAGCTGAATCTGATTATAAGATTTGTTGTACTGATCATCTCTTTGCAATGTTCAAACATCTTCGGGCCACTCCGAACACGACCGCTTTGGTTAAGAGGCCGTGATCGAGGCTGCAAGCAAGGGCGATCGCTCCGCCCACCATAAGAAGCTTTGGCAAGTTCTTCCCTGCTGCTGGTTTCTCAGAGGGCTCCAAACTTCCGACCTCTGAGGAACCATCGTCATTGTCAGATGCATCTTCTGAGCATCTCATCACATACTCTGAACTCATCTTTGTGTTGATATTAGCCATCACAGCACAGTTTGAAAGCGGCGCTTCGGAAGCTCTATGCTTCTGATATGCACGTAAAGCGGGATCGATCTTCTTGACGGCTCCCCACATCCCTTGCCTAATCCCCAGCTTTGCAATTTCCCATGGGATGCCCATGTCTTCGTAGTGAAATAGTATCACCTCGCACGCACTCAGCTCGCCGTTACCCCTTCTCGATTCAGCTGTTTCCATATAGCAGCAGAGAAACAGCTGTTTAGTTGTCTAGGAGACGTGAATGACAAGGGGGGAAGAATTCAACCATGACCAGCGCATTAAAATAAATAAGAAGGCTATGAACTTGGCTCTACCTGCACGGATGCACCAACTTGAGTAGTAAAGGTCAACTCGTTTTGGCTTCTTCTGTCTTGGTATCAAGGAACAAGGTACGCCCTGAATCAACATAAACCAAGATTGGATATTATTTCCCAACTTTTAAACATCAAAGTGGCTTGAAAAGTTGACCATCGTCCATTTGTGAAGAATCACCGCCACCGTCGGTCAATATTGTTCACTTTGACTCGTAAAATCTTTGTTAGAGAGATGTTTTCACATTCCCTCTCTAACTGATGTGAGATCTCACAATACACCCCTTGAGGACTAGCGTCCTCGTTGACACAAGGCATCGATGTCCGGTTCTAAGTCTACTTCTAACAAAGCCACATGATTTTAAAACGCGTTACATAGCATTATAGCAGCCAACTTTATGATTTTAAAACGCGTCTACTAGGGAGAACTTTCTACACCATTATAAGTAATGTTATGTTCCTTTCTCAAACTCAAACTGATGTGAGATCTCAAAATTCACTCCCTTGAATGCTAGCATCCTTGCTTGGCACAACGCTAGATGTATGGCTCTGATACCATTTGTAATAGTCCAAAGGCTCCCGATTAGCCTTATCTTCATGGTTTTAAAACATATCTACTAAGAAGAGATTTCTACACTCTGGTAAGAAATATTTTGTACCCCTCTTGTATCGAGGTGGGATAATTACCCAAACTTGTGAAGTTGATGATTAAGTGCAATAGACTGAAGTCTAAAACATATAAAAATACCAAACTTCAACAAAATTTCAATGGAAGATCCGAAGAAAAGATGAACATGGAGAAATGGGTAGACAGGCACAGCATGTCTGACCTTCGTCACACAGTAATACGCCTGTCCCGATTCCCAGATTCTTCGTCCGATCGTGTAATCTCGATCGCTGCAGAAGAAAGGGAACTGCAGGAACAACAACAAATCAATGAGAAAACCATAAACATAATGTCAAACAAACACAGAGACAAGAATGGAACTTCACTCACCTTGCGCACCCAGTGGACAGTCATGTTCCCTGTGGTCGGACATTGCTCCAATGTTCGACCACTTATAAGCATATCATCCCATTTCATTCTGAATTCATCATCCCAAAAGAGATCCCTCACCATCTCAGCCGTCGCATCCTCAAAAATCGTTCGACTTCGGTACTGCGGCGGCCCCCTCTGCCAAAACAACAGTAAATAACACCATAAGGGCTATAAAACACAAGAACAATACAGTAATAATGGATAGCTAGCTACCTCAGGGTCTCTCCGCCATGCTTGATAGCTCATGGTAGAGGTAGAACGATCCATCATCTGAATCCATGACGGCCCTCCATCTTTCTCCTCAACAAGCTTGTACAAATACTTAAAATCCTCCTCCGTTAACTCAGCTGGTGCTGATGAACTGTGGTTAACAATTTGTATTAGAAATCATCATAACTTGTCGTTCATCATATGGAAGAGTTAAAGCAACAAACCTGGAGATGGATGCTGCAACTTCTTGTTCTTCTTGTTCTTCTTGTTCATCCTCACAATTTGACGTCAAATTCAAGCATTTAGGCAGAATGTTCAAGGAATTCAAACTAGAAATTGAACCCACAAAGCAAGATGTCGGCAGATTATCCTTCAACTTGGACGAAATGAACAAACCCTTATTGGAATCCACCCATTTGGGCTTCCAAATCCATCCCACAACCACTCCCACAATAATCCCCACCCACAAACGAGCAACAAACATCAAAATCATGAACACTGAATCGTAGGCGGTGGGAGGCCCCGCCGTCTCCAACAAGAACGAGTCCACCGCCATCACCCCCAACAAAATCAAATGACCCACAAACACAAAAGGCGAATGGAATCGAAAGAACCCAACAGAGAATCAAAGAACTGAAGAACACGAAAGAATACCGGGATTCGGATATAGTTCTTCCCCTTTTGCCTCGTTTTCAGCAGAAGCGCATCAGAAAATGGATAAGAATCCAGCGATGATAGGAGGCGAAGTAGTAAGAACCAGAAGAATTCCTCTGGTTATTACAGAAAGTTGGGGTCTCCCTCGTGACTTAAATAAAGGGTTCTCTCAAAATCCCCAAAAGGGTGAAGGATTTTGGCCGAACGTAGGCTGAAAGGGCAGGTGGGTATGGTGGGTCTTTCTCTAAAACGCCATTAAAATGCCCAAATTCCACGATTCAAACTAAATTTCTTCTCCCTTTTTCAACTCCCTGAAAATTTGACCATAATTACGAGTGGAATTAGTGAGTTTTTGGGGCGTTAATAAAGACGGGTTGTTTTTTTCTCAGATACTATCAAAGATTAAGGAGGAAATGAAATTATTTTTGCTAAAATTAAGAATTGAATACCCCTTTTCCACATTTTGGGGTTGGAATGGATAAGGATAAATTTTCTATTTTTATTTAATTAATAATGATAAATGAACACACTCTCCACAATGGTATAATGGTATGATATTGTTGCCCACTTTGAACATAAGCTCTAGTGGTTTTGCTTTGAACTTTCCCAAAAGGCCTCACACGAATGGAGAGAGTATTCTTTGTTTATAAACCTATGATCATTCCCTTTCATCCTCCAACAAATAAATCTCTCCCAAATAAAATATATCTTTTTAATTTTGGTTAATGGGTGGCTACTTAAGGTTAATGAACAAAGAATAGCATAAGAGTCATATTTTTGGTTAAATCAGCTTGTATGAGCTCGTCATAAATATAGGGGTCTCATATGAACTTATCTAAACTATTGCGTTTGAGTAATCTAGTTTATCTAAGCTTATTTTTAGTGATTGTGTTCGACTGAGTTCAAATAATCTAGTTATCCTCTGTACTATTTCTTTAAGTTATTTTAATCATATTTCATTCCCAACGAACCTAATTCAAAGCACGTGTAAAAATAATGCCTTTTTCTACTTCAAAATTTTCAAATATTTGTAAATTACTATTTAGACCAAAGTCTACATTCCTAGAACACCAACATTATCAAAACAAATTATATATATTTTTTTTTACTGTTTTTTCTTTTTTTTGCATGAAAAACACGTGTGTCGTGATCCATAATTGGGGTGAGTGTTGTTTTTTTGTTTATACTTTTAAAGAAAAAAAAACCAAATTTTTATGAATTTTGAGAAATAATAATTTGTAACGTAAAAGAATTTATCAAATTAACTCTCAGAAGATAAATTCATAATAAAATAGAATTTCAACTTCTTACTTTCTTTTAAATAAGGGACGTTTTGCCCTTAAACATTTAAAAATAAGATACATTGTATAACGAAGATCGTTAATATCAGCTCGATACAAAGTAAAACTAACGATAACTTTTCTTTTCATGTCCGAGAATTATTTCCTTGTTCAAAGTATTGGTCTAGAAAAAGTTCACATATTCAATGTTTCTATTCCTGTTTAGGTCACGGGAAAAACGTCTTCCTCCCCCACCTAGCTTAAATGGAAAAGTAATTTTCTTACTCAATATATTCATACATTTCTGCCAAATGTCAATTTATGTACGTATATAATGTAGATACCGTCGTTATTTGTACACGAAAAATATTTCACTTCGAATTGACGTGGGCTTATATTTGCCAGCCGAATTAATTTCTTTCCAAAAATTAAATTTTTTTTCCCTCAAGTGGTCAATATTTCAAGGGATGAAATAAAAATTAAAAAAAAAACAATTATTTCGGCTGAGGAAAGAATATTAGAAATATTAATTCAAATGAAATATTTTTAAAATCCAATATTTTCAATTTTCACTTTTGTATTTAATAGATTTTATAAATTTAAAAAAATGTTAGAAAATGTCCGGAATACTTAAATACAAATTTAAAAGTTTAGTGATCTATGAGATACTTTTTAATTTTTAGAGACTTATTAAACACATAAAATTATAAGTTACGAATAATTGAATATATAAAGAATCACGATTTTTCTATCGTAGATTGGGTAAATACATTTATTTAAAGAGTTAACTCGAACGATGACAAAAATTGATTAGGGTTAGATGTTATTTTGTGAGATCCCACGTCGGTTGGAGAGGGGAACGAAACGTTCTTTATATGGGTGTGGAAACCTCTCCCTAATAGACGTGTTTTAAAATCTTAAGAGAAAATCTGGAAGCGAAAACTCAGAACGGACAATATCTACTAACGGTAAGCTATTTAATCATAGTTAAAGTAAGTTACGATCTCATTGAAATAAGTCATAGATTTTTAGTTTGGAAGTCCATGACAATTGAAATACTTTTTTAAAGTAGCTTATGAAACTACTCCAAATGCCAATTCATTGTTGAATATATAACTCATAAAAATCATAACAAAAGGTCACAATCCAAAAAGAAAATGTACTACCGACCACTATTTTGATTTTTTACACGTTTTTTTCTCGGTTTTCGTTCTAGCTAGATGACCACTTTGAACTAGAGACGTTTACGAAACGGGAGATGAGAAACCTTTTCCATTCCTACCACCTTTTCAATCTCAATTCTCATAAATTTTTCATTACCGTAAATTTTCGGAGATCAGATTTCTTACATGTATATATATATTTGGAGTTAAGGATTGGTTAGGAACGGGGACAAAGAGTATAATCCTTGTTTTGAGTCCCTTTAGTTGAGAAATTTCTCTCTATTCCTTCATTTATTCTCCGATTAAATGGAAATTCTCTGTTCAGTTTACGGTGAGTCCTAACTCTACAAACATCTCTAAGTTGAATCAATTCCGACCATAAAATTTAATTCCTATTAATTTTTCTTATACCCATTTTAAAAGTAAAGTAAATAATTAATTTTGTTAAAAATAAATAAATCACAGAAATATATGGTTTAAAATTTTATTTTGTTTGTTAAAATTAATAAAACCTAACAAATTACCATAATTAGAAAAAATTAAAAAAATGATTCATTAAAGAGAATGAACAAACACTAAGTCTTCCACTTTGAATGGCATGCACTGATTACAATACCAAAAACTCTCACATATTTGGTCAAATTTTGGTGAAACATTTGCCATTGTTAAAAAAACAAAAAGAAGAAAAGGAATCATATGAACACATGATTTAAAAAATTATTATGTTTCTATAATAGAACACAACAAATTTCCATACTGAGAATGAACACATTGCCCAGATTCCATGAATCACACACTTTCAAAGGCAGGCATATCAATGCAGTGGGAGATGGTACCTCCAAAGTTAATCGATACCCATTGCCTTGTAACAGTGATATACACAGACTAAGATGGAGATATCAAATTCAAAGGGTTTCTAGAAACTGGTGTGCCAGATTGCCTCTTCACCTTCCCCACACCTCTGATGAACCTCCTCCATTCTCTCCACTGATTTGCAAATGCCTCTGCAACTCCAATCAAATGATGCACCACAGGGATTCCCAGCTTCAGCCTTCCACTCACAGTCTGCATCCATGAAATGTGAATCAAAACAAAGCGTATTTCGACACGATGAGACGGTGGTGAAGGGAATGGTCGTTGTCTTACCGAGTGGAGTGCCACAGCAAAGGCTCTTATCATCGATGTGTTCGACATCAAGACCAATGAACCATGAACCTAAGGAAACATCTTCATTTGCATATCTATGTAGTATGGGTCTACAAGAAGAAGAAGCAAATTCTGACAGATAATTATTAAAATGTTAAGAGAAATAACCGCTCAAGTCCAATGCTAGTAGATACTGTCCTCTTTGAACTTTCCCTTAAAGTTTTTAAAACACGTCTCCTAGGGAGACGTTTCCACGTCCTTACAGGGGTGTGGAATTCTGAGATCACACATCGGTTGGGGAGGGGAACGAAACATTCTTTATAAGGGTATGGAAGCCTCTCCCTAGCAGTTTAAAAACCTTGAAAAGAAAGCCCAAAGAGGACAATATCGGCTAACGGTGGACTTGGGTTATTACACGCCGTGACTGAAATGACTTACCTATTAACTGAAATGTAGGTAGCTAAATCTATGGAGATGCCCTAAATTTGCCCAGTTGCATGCCTAAAATACTTATTGCCTTCCTCACCAAATTTCCAGTATTCAGGTTCATGATACTTTTCCTCTCTGCAAAGATTTTACGGCGTAACGTTCCAAGGACGTAACATTTACGAGTATACAGTGTTTAATTTGCTTACTTTTGAACAAGAACTGGACCCGACTTCATGCAACCAATATAAACACGTGGTTTCGATCTATGACGAGCCAAGGTAGAACCAACCATACCTGTGATTTTCACAATCAGTTTAGGTATAGAGGCAATAATCCTAGAATGTGAGAATGCTAACCAAGATTTATATGAACATCGTCATCAACTTTGATGAAGAAATCTGCATCCCATTTAGCAACTGCTGTTGAAAAGTATATTTGGGTTTTGGAGGATAATTCATGATATCCTTCTATGTGGTTCTGTAAGAAAACAACCCAAGTTTAGAGGTTTATCTAACAAAGAATGTGGCAAATCAAAGTAAATATTAGCTACTTTGGTTTTGGATATAGAAATGCCTTGAAGCAGCAAGTAGTTATGTGTTAGTGTTAAATCAAGAATAGGAGCAGCTGGCACATTATGGTGTACATGTGGTGGTTGCTGTTTTTTGAAGCTCTGGTTGAGAAGGGTTGGAGAACATTTGGTACAAATCTTATGATCCAGAGTGCACTCCCTCAAAGTGTCTCTGTTTCCCAACCCCCACGCCCCCATAGGGGAAAAAAGGACTAGCTGAGAAAGGGAGCTTTCCTCGACGAAGAAGGTAGTGATGAAGATCTGGTTATTTGCGAATACGTGTCGAGAAAATAGAATGTGCTCTATAGATGGTTCAGGGCTTTATCAAGTCTCCGAGAGCAAATTGTGAGATTCGACATCGTGAGGAGAAGAACGAAGTATTCTTCATAAGGGTGTGGAAACCTTTCCCTAGCAGACGCATTTTAAAAACTTTGAGGGGAAGCCCAAAAGGAAAAGCTCAAAGAGGACAATATATACTACTGATAGACTTGAGTTGTTACAATTAGTATTGGAGCTAGACACTAGGCGGTGTGCAAGCGAGGACACTAAACCCCGAAGGGGGGTGGACACCTAGCAGTGTGCCAGCGAGGACGCTGGGCCCTGAAGGGGGTAGATTGTGAGATCCCACATCAGTTGGAG